CTCAGACAATTCAGCTTTAGTTGCATCACTTGCCACCAAATTCCTCAGTCGTAGACAGTATTCTCTCAGCTGCAACACACAGTGACACAAAATCAATACATATTTATTGGAGATTACACAACTTACTGATTTCTGAATTTCGATTGAATTTGCAAAAACATGAGTGAAAATGTGTGGAAGGCACCTTCTGATTGAGGATATCGTTCATTCTGCGTGAGGCCTCTGAGCTGTGCGACTCTGGGAAGCATTTCTTTGGAATGACGCCATACTTTTCTGAAAACAGTACAAAGAACAAGATATTTAGCCCAGTCAACTAACTTCAATATTCCACCACTGTTTTTGTTCAATTGTTAGATGATTTATTGTAATATCATGATGAGAACTAACCAATGAGGTTGACCAGCATGTCCCACTGTCCTCCATCATTGGTTGGATTGGAGAGCAGGAACTGCACTAGGCGTCCGTCCACTGGCTCCTTCCTCTGGGCCGTCTCCACGCAGGCTTGAAGGAAGTAGTAGCAACGCTCAACCTGCAGAAAAGAGAACAAACAAAAGCATGAGATGTGGCAGGTAAATAAAGAGGGAAAAAACATAGGACATTAGTTGATGCTATAGTTTGTGGCACAGAGTTATAGTCAGAGACTTGACAGCTGTGAGACTTCAGGATGTATCATATGTTCATGGTAAGCATTTAGAGATCTGAGAGACTTGTAACTCTACACCAGAGTAGAGCAGGGTATAGTTAGAGTTCCACATCTACTGCTTCCTTATTTAGTGTTATTATTGGAGTTAGTGTTAGCCCCCATGTCTGGCACAAAGAAAAGTAGTATTCATGGTGCCACCACTATCCATCTGAACACGTGCAAGAAAACGCCAGGAGGTCAGAGAGAAAGAGAAAGAGAGGAAGAGAAAGAGAAAGAAAGAAAGAGAGAGAGGTGTCACTGTGACGTTAGCCTGGGAATAACAGTGACCACAACAAACAAAAGAGGGTTTTATCTGGACACTGACTGTATAGTGTAACCATGTTCATGCAACTGGATACAGAAGCTTTGAGCTTGAACACACACAAGTGTGCGTGTTACATGTCCTTTGCCATGTATTTACCAATTGTAATTAAAATTGTGTTCTATTGGCTACCATGATGTGGAAACTGCACGCACGCACGCACGCACACACGCACGCACACACGCACGCACGCACGCACGCACACACACACCTGACTGCATAACAAAAACATCCATTTGCTAGAATATTACAAAACTCATTACTATAATCTGGAAATAAAGTTGATTAAGACAAGAAAGAAACACCTGAATAGCTTATAGCTAAGCCGATATATCGAATGGCTGATGATATGGGCTGTTATGAGAACATACGTTTTCGCATGACAACAAAACACAAAGTATTTCTGTTTTACCTTGTCCCAGAAAAAGAGATAGGACTGACTGAACTCAAACTCCTCTATGTTAAACTTCTTCATGAAGGGAAGTCGCATGACATTGAGGCACGAGAAGATCCAACATCTCCCTGAGTGATAAAAAAAGAAAACAACATGCATGTTAGTCAGAATTTCACACGCATATATACACATGTACTAATGCTGACTGTGGTCACAAGTACAATAGAATAATGTTTGACTCACAAGCATTCCTCAACCTGCAAATCTAGAGTGACTTGTTCATTAGGTCATCTACAGCCAAAATTATTTGCTGGTTTAATGATCACTGTTTAATAATAATGTAGGCAGATCCTCCGACACATGCTGCAAGTTTTTAGATTGATGCAGAGGTTTACTGGACATATCGGAAGAAATGTTGATTTGATACTGTGCTGGAATAAGTGGAAACCAACAGCTTTTCTTGAGGGAGGGTAATTACACGGTAATTCCGTTTATCAGTTTTAGACCTACAGTCTGCTTTGAAATGATGTGAACATGTTTTTTGACAAATCCTGTTCATTTTTGAGACAATAGTAAAATCGTTTTATTAACAAAAAACAAGAACACATCTTGTGTCATATCTTCCAGATTTGTGTGTGAGCAATGGACAGTGCAGAAGAATTGTAAAAAAAAAAATTTTTGTGTGAAATTGAAATTGACTTGACTCATAAAATGTACTAATTTTACTGTAACATGCAATATACAAATTTTTGAAAGTTTTACAAAAAGATGATGAGAAAGAAAGATGATGGAGTTAAGTGTAGTTGGTGTATGCTTAAAAAAGCTGCAGCAAGTAAATATGACAAAAATGACTCACGTGAAACTGAAAGTGTGTCAGAGGCAGAGCACACTTACATTTACAGGAATGGAAATGGGAAAGTTGTCTCAGACTTTTGGACACCACTATTTTTAAACATATGTCATACTTATATTTATTGAAATGCATTTTAAAAGGTCCAGTGTGTAAGATTTAGGTGAAAGCCATCTATTGAAAGATATTGAATATAAAATAATCCTAGTGATGTTTTTCACTAGTGTGTTTCAACTAAATTATACAAATTGTTGTTGTCTTTACTCTAAAATGAGCCCTTTATATTTAAATACTTTATATTTATGCCAGGAGTAGGTCCTCTCTATGGTGGCTGCCAAGTTTTTTACAGTGGAAAAGACTGGACAAACTAAACACCTTTTGAGTTTTATGACAATGAAAGGTTTCCACAGGTTCACTTTCATGTTTGGAATGGGAGGGTGATGTGAATGGTATTTAGCTGCAACATGTAACTTCACCACTAGGTGTCACTACAAACATCCTGCCAATATAACTCTGCAACACATCAAAAGTTAAAGTATTTGCATTGAAGAAATACTTCAGATGTCAATTCCGAACCATTTATGTCAGTTCCAAAGTGTAATAAATAACATTTGTTTGTGATCTGTAATAACCAGTATAAACATTCACATACTGCAGTATCAAAGACATCTGTGTAAGAGGACTACAAGACTAAATCCTAGCTCCTTCCAGTTGCACACGACAGCTGCGGACACCGGATATATAGTTTTTATCATACATCACGCATATACCCCCTGATGACTAAATTTAGATCCCTCTGAACCTCAGGCCCTCCCACAGAATGCATGAAGTATAAACCAGCATAAGACATCACTCATTTCCAAACATATCTCTTACTCCTTACTGGAAGGTACACATGTTTCTGTAAATTTTGTCCTACCTGAGTTTTTCTGGTTGGTGATGGGCTTGCCCTCTGTGGGGATAGAGTGCTGGAAGATGTGCACAGTATCCTGGACAGTCTGCCGGTGCAGACAAACCTCCAATGGGTCAATGCACGTCGACACATTCTGGGCCAACAGGTAGCGTGGCTCGGCCCGCAGCCGCTTAAGGAAGGTTGCTACCTTTTCCTGACTCAGACCTGGGGGAGAAAGAAGGAAGGATTAGGGATGGCTGGGTACAATGAAGTACAAGCAGATGAAGAAGTGAATAGCAAAATGAATGTTGAAAGAGAGGAGGCAAAGCAAAGCTCCAATAAAGTAACATGTAAAAGGAAGTTCACAGACAGAGAGTCTACACTTTGGAGGAGCAATTTCCTAGTGCTGCCCCAATTCCCATGAGTCATCTGTGCACTTTAGGCATACACATTTCCCACACTCTGACTTATGAACAGTCACGTGGTCAGAATAAGTTACAATAATGTGTGGAAAACACCAGATCAATAGTCATAAAGTTACAGCCCATGCTTTATTGAATACAACTGTCTGCTGCATCATTTTATCCCACTGTCCATACAGAGATTATAGTGGAGAACAGTCTACTAAGGATATTAAACTCAATTATGATTTTAGATCCGATAAAGTCGGAGGGACAGGAAAAGCAAATAATGAAGAAATCAAGAGTGCTTTCCAGTAGTACTATAAGTGGCCCGACAGAGCTGAGGGCTGGCATCACTCATCTGGCTCCATCTGCGTGAGCAACAAACTGAGAAACTTGTGTAGTCCCACTGGTAGAGAAGACGGAGTGGTACACACAAACACGTGTGGTTGGTAATTCCGTCAAATAACAGTGCAAAGCAATTAAACATTGAGAGGGACATTGACTAGTCATGCATGTGCCCTAGAGTTCAACCCCTCTCTCCGCTGCATTCTGTTATTTTCCATTGACACAAAGCTGAAATGTACTGACCGCCACAGTGTCAAACTTAATTAACTGTCATACTCTAATTATCAGGGGGGAGAAAAGCAAAAGAAAGCCTAAGGCAGTGAATATTACGAGAACAAGCCTGCATGACGTCCTGTGTTTGAGTTGTTTGACATTGATGAGCATGGAAAGATCATCAGAAGACAGATAAGGAGAAATCTGTCCAATGTGAACGCTCTGTTTGTAGCAGAGTAATGGCAGATTGCTGTAAACTAACATCAGATTATGGCAAGACAGGAAAAGATGGGTCCGAACAGATACAAGAAGAGCTGAGAGCTCAGTCTGTTAGTTGGCTGGACATGTTTTCCAACCAGGGGATGAATGGTGAGGACGTACATCACACACAGTGGTTTTCAATGGGAGAGGAGGGGGGGGGAGCACAGGCAGCCGGGGTGACTTGCAAATTTACACATCACTGGTTACACAACTGGCTTTATTTAAGCTAAGCACTTTATAATGCCCCTCACTGGTCCATGTGCAAATGGCTGGACAACAGCTGACAGTGGAGGCTCAGCAGACATCAGACCCAGAAGCTGACAAAGACACACACACACACACACACACACACACAACCAGGAGTATTATGACACCATCAAGGTCCTTGTTGCTTTGATTGATTTAGATAAAACCTGGAGGAAATACATGATGTGCCGGGGACAACAATTCAATACCAAGATCTGTGGCTGCCAAACAAAACGCGTTCTGAAACGTCAGATTCATGTCAGATTGAAACTGAAAGAAACAAAATCTCAGTCTCGGTTTGCTGAAGGTGAACTTTTACACCATCAGCCGCTGTTAGACGGAACTCTGAAGAGGGTGCTGCAACACGGAAGACACTGTGCTCTCTCTTTAAAGTGTGTCCCCTCATGAAAACCCCACTTCAATGAATCGCTGCCACTTTAAATACTTTGACAGCTTCTGCCACTTCCAACTCTATCCCTCACTAGCTAGCTGCACATGCTAGCGCTTCCAGTCCCTGGAGCTGACACTAGCTTTTCCCCAGCGGGCTCAGGTGTGTTAGCTGCCCGGCTCCACGGTCCGGGTGTCGGCACCTTGCTGACAGTCTCTGGGGGGATTGAACCGGGCTGACTGAGCTGAGGAAACATCGGCGGAGTCATGCTAGCGGACTGGCGTGCTAACGCGGTGCTTGCTAGCTTAGCCCGTTAGCTCCCTCAGCTGTCACCATCCGGCTGTCAAATACACGCAGAGCTCCGGCTGCCGGGGACACGGAGCCCCGGCACCGACACGGGGGAGAGCAGCACCCGACCTACCAGTTGCCATGTTCCCGAGGAGCTTGAGGAGCGTTGTGTGTTTTCCTGAAAAGTCGCCGGCTCTTTGTTTATCTCATTCACCGACAGTCAGTCAGTGTGATCGTAGGGTGCGCTTGTTTATGGACTCGCGGTCCGGTCTTAGACGTGGCGGCAGGGCGGAGTTTACCATTTATTTATATTCCCACCCATCCAAACCGAGTCTCTGGCATTCATATATGGTGTATGTTCTATAAATGAAATCCATCCGGCAGAAAACCGGATCATAGACTGCAAAGACGAATGTCCTGACCCCAGAGAGACACGTGGTCTACTGAGGCCTCAAGCAAATTTATCCTGGGGCCCTCAGGATTATCAACATGATGCCATAAATGATCTTACACTAAGGAAGGGCAGGACGTGTGAAACACATTTATTTCAAACCTTTCACTTACACAAGTACGTTTTTCAAAAGAAAATTAAAACAAAGAACATTAAAACTTTCTAATGTTCAATAAACAAACATACAGAGCTCTCACTTGGAGCTGCACCATGACACTTTTATACTTGAAATAAAACTGTGATTGAGTCATTATTTTATTTGAGGCACATCGGCATCTATCAATCTAGGTCAAGTTAAAACACAGAGGCACACCATACATGCTCACACCATCATATACCCCCCCACACGCAATATCTTAAGCCTACTAACAAAATATAAAATCTATCTATATCCATATGTAAAAATATAATATGTAAATATAAACACACACATACAATAGATTAATACATTCTCCAACAAGTGGTCAGTCCTTGTGTGACTTTTAGTTTGTCAGTCTTGAAAAAATCAATGATTAACAATGATCTGTTTATTTATTCTGAATCTGTCGATTCCAAAATTTGCTAGAAATATAGATGTCTTATCTCAAAAGTAAGTAGATTTTATTTTGAATGTTAGCTTTTTTTGCTGAAAATCATTTTATTATGGCTGAAGATGTAGAGGGTTTACAAAGTAAAAAACAGCATGTGCTTATGTCGTATTAGTAATAAACATCTTAAAGTCACCATACCTTTCTCTGCTTGCCTAGTTTAAACCC